GTGATGCTGTTTTCATTTAAAGGAGAAGAGATTTTTTTCTTCTAATGTTTCTAAGAAAGTGTTTTCCCAAGAGAAAAACTGATTGAATATTTATTTATTTATTTTTTTAAAGATTTTATTTTTTCCTTTTTCTCCCAAAGCCCCCTGGTACATAGTTGTGTATTTTTAGTTGTTGGTCCTTCTAGTTGTGGCATGTGGGATGCTGCCTCCGCATGGCTTGATGAGCAGTGCCATGTCTGCGCCCAGGATTCGAACTGGTAAAACCCTGGGCTGCCCAAGCAGAGCGCACAAACCTAACCACTCGGCCACGGTGCCAGCCCCTGAATAATATTTTAAATTAGAAGATGGAGTAGATAAAGGTTACCAGGAACAGATCTTTTCCCCAGAAAAGACATAGAGGCAGTATTGCATAGTGTTTAAGAACATGAACTGTGAAGCCAAACTGCATAGCTTTGACTTCCAGCTTTGCTACTTGCAAGCTATGTGATCTTGGATATAATGTATAACTTCTCTGAGCTTCAGTCCTTCTTATCTGTAATGAGGACAATGGTACCAAATTCAGAGTTATGAGAATTAATGAATACGTAAAGCACTGAGAACAGTGGCTGACATATAGTTTTTTTATCAAGTTCCAATATAGTCCCTATGCAGTCACTTCTCAGATTCCTTGGCTGAGTTAGTTCCTTTCGAATGTATAAGGGGGTCCGTTAACGTTAAAAGATTGATGGTGAACCATCTGTTTCTTCCCTTTCTCCTTTCTCACATATTTCCTCCCTTCACCTCCTTCTATTAATAACTGGGAGGAGGGTGGGGATACAGACTCTGAAGTTGGACCTGGATTCTGCTTTCACCCTAATTCTGCTGCTTCTACCTTGCGGGCTAGGTTATTCCATGGACAAATAGTTTCAGGTGCCAGAAAGCAGTTCCTTTTATTGAGCTCAAGTCTGTCTTAAGATAAAGATGAAAAATTGTGGGGCTGGACTGTTGGCGCAGCGGTTAAGTGTGCGTGTTCCGCTTCGGTGGCCCGGGGTTCGCCGGTTCGGATCCCGGGTGTGGACATGGCACTGCTTGTCAAACTATGCTGTGGCAGGTGTCCCACATATAAAGTAGAGGAAGATGGGCACAGATGTTAGCTCCAGGGCCAGTCTTCCTCAGCAAAAAAGAGGAGGATTGGCAGCAGATGTTAGCTCAGGGCTAATCGTCCTCAAAAAAAAAAAAAAAAATTGTCTAACCCTAAAGGACATCAGGAATTTGATGTGTCGTGTATAAATCCTTATGCCTGGAAATTATGGGAGATAGAAGTTACCCTTCTCATTTATTCATACTTATGGCATAGCAGATGAACCTAAGAGAGTCAAATTTGTTTTAATAAGCAATTCTAAGGAAAAATGTTCTGCCCTGTGCAATAATCAGCATTTAAGTAGAACTGCTACTGATGGTATTTCAAAACACCAGCCCTTATACTAATGGTTTTGGTTACACTCTGCTGTGTTCTATAACTCCTAAGAGCATGTGATAGAGCTAGAATGAAATGTCTCAGGCTTACACTGAACAGAGACCACCTGCCTCATCGCAGGAGGGAGTAGCCATGTGGTAACCTGAAGTAATTAATCAATCAGGCAGCGAGCCGGAGACCCCTCCAAAATCAATCTTCATTTTTCTTTGTAGCCTTTATCAAATAGAGCTTTCCAATAGAGCTTTCTCTATTTTGTTTTATTCAGAATCGCTGACGCACTGTAGAAACATAAATCTTCAGATATCTGCAGTGTGACTCACTCTCTGTTTTATTACAGTCCTGGTGTGTGTGTGTTTCAAGGGACTGTCAGGAAGAATTTATAAATTGTAGTGAGTTCTGCTCCCACCTAGTGAGCTTGTGAAAATCAGTATAAAACATGAGGGCAATTACATCATCTTCTAGGAGATCGATAAAGGAAGAGAGAAGCCTTTTGATGTACATAGTAACCATCTTTTTTCATCCTTTAAGGGTATGCAGCAGAGGATGGTAATGTAATAAAAACAGTCCTTTGTTTGGCTGGATTCAGGAGCACTTACCCCATTTGCAAATGGCGTATCCATGTGAGATATGTATTTGAAAATAGCAAAAGGCATGATGACATCAATCTAACCTATGTTAAACTTGAACCTGAAGCAAAGCCAGTAATATATATTATATAAAGAAAAATCAAATTTCACATATAAGCTCTATTTTAAGACCCTACAAAGCCCCCCTCAATTATTCCCATTTTAAATTACTGTGCTTTCAGGTACACCAATTTATTTGGTTCTAAGAAAAAAAAAAGTATATTCTTACGATTTAGACGTTTTTCAGGATCTTAGAGATTTCTGATGATAGAACAATAAAAATAATGTTAGTTGGAAATCAGTGACGAGTGCTCATAAACAAGCAACATTTCTAGCTAGTCTTTCTTTTGTTTACAAGCAGAGAGATTTCTGGGTTTTTCTCCAGGCTCTGTTTTGAAGTCAATACTCTTATTAGATCTGGTTTATGTTATCCTAATGGAATTCTTTCTAACTGGGACTGACTCAGAGTGGCTGTACATAATGGTCTCAGCTGGAGCAGAAGGTATGGTAGACTTCGTAATTATGTTTTTCTGATACTTCCATAAATTCTCTATCAAAGGATTTGTTAAGTTGAAGTGAAATTGACATGACATGAAATTAATCATTTTAAAGTGAACAATTCAGTGTCATTTAGTAGATTCACAATGGTGTGCAGCCACCACCTCTATCTATTTCCAAAACATTTCTATCATTCCAAAATAAACCCCCATACTCATTGAATACTTAGTCCTCATTGCCTCCTCTGTCCCCTCTGGCAACTACCGATCTACTTTCTGTTCCAATGGATTTTTAAATACATTTTAAAAACTGGTCCATGTTTGCCTTCAGAGCCATGAATGGTGCTTCTGGGCTCCCTGCTTATGTTCACAGGTAAATTCCAGAAGCTTATCCCCGGGACTATGTGACTTGCATTATCTCTGGAGCTAAAATTTGGACTCAGGTTTCCAGACAATTGCTGAAATCTTGCCACCCTCTTTAGTCAGTGCAGTAAAGTGAATTCTAGGCCCTTTGATACTGAACTACTGAATTCCTTTGCAAAATTATTTTTCAAAACACGTTTTTAAAAAATAGGTAAATAACACCCAATTCTATTTAATTTTTATCAGGAGCAGAGGTGACTCATGGTTGGATGCACCCAGAGCTCAGCTTTGCGCTGCCACCACCTCACTGCAATGCGGGACAGCAGTAGGCTCAGGAAGTCAGTGAGGTGTAGCGGTGTGTCTGTGGGACGTGGGATTGACAAGGGTTTCTGGGACAGAGAAACTTTAAGTGAAATCTGGTAAGGAAGGGGTGAAAAAAAGGAAAGATTTCTACTCCATCAAGGGAGGGGACATTCTTTCATGAAAGAAAAGCCAGCACTGCAGAGTCAGAGAACCAGGTTCAAATCTCAGCTCTGTCACTTAATGGTGCAACATCAGACATGGGTTTTAACTTGTCATTCCAAGGCTCTATTCCCTCATTTGTAAAACGGGTATACAAATAGTACACCTACAGAGTGGTACTGAGGTTTAAATGAGGTAATTCTATGTTTACTGCCTAGTGCAGGGTCTGACACATAGCAAGGAGTTACTGAATAAATTATAGCTGTTGTCAGTCTCAGGGCGCAGGGGATCTCATTGTCTAAGGAATCTGAAAGTCATATCGGATATCATTAACATTGTTTACGGACAGCCTTTCCACAATCTCACAGACTCACTTTGTTGTCTTGGTCTGTCATGACAGGTGGTGGTGTTTGCTTCCCTTCCCTTCTTCTCTCTGCCTTACAATTCTGAACACCATGTTTCCCTGTCACTGTAATTGTTCTGATTTAATCATTAACCAACTCTATGCTTTTAATGTCTTTCTTCTATAAATAAGCTCATGGCAATTAATGGCGACTCATTGAAAATAGGACGTATAAATTTGTCAGAGCCAGACATTATATAAATGTAATAAAAGGACTCTGGTTTTGCATAGTGAAGGACCCATTAACCAAATAGTATTCTTAGAAGCAGGAACCAAAGTCTATATTGCAAACCCACGTATTAATGCCACTATTGTTTCTTAATAGGCCCTAAAAGATGTTTTGATTGCTATAAAACTCTCAGTGTTATTGTGCAACTAACAAATCTCTTTTCACCAGCAGTGCCATTAATGTATCTTTGAGTGGTGTCTTAGTGCTCTTAGCCAGATGGACTGAGAATGACAGTACTGCTCAGGACCCAGCAAGCTCCAGCTTCAACCACCAGCATCCACTGTGAGTTGCATCCACATATCCCCTCATTTGTAGTCTCCATCCTGGAAACTGGCATGGCCTTAGGGAATCTCAACTTGGCAACTGTGGATTTCCGGACACCAGAAGTGGAGCATCCTAGAGGAGTCACAAGTCCCTTGATCTGTACGAGGTTTTGTGTGTGTATTTTTCTGGGGAAAGGGTCCATAGTTTTTGCCAAGGGATCTGTAATCCAAAAAAGGTTATGAATCATTTCAGTAGAGGGAAATTCTATTACTGCTGCCCATGTGCCACTTAAACACCTGGGTTCTGCAGAAGTATAAGCCCATTTTCAAAGAAAGAAAATATTGTTTTGAAGAACTTTTTATCATGTGCTCTCTGCCAGTTCACTCTCAGAAATGTTCACCAGCTCATTAAATGATTATCCAGGCACAGAAGGCATTGTCTTTCAGCGTTTGATTGATTGATTTCCCCACCACCCCACCTCCCCCGCCATGAACTGTCCACTTAGTGCATGACGTGTTTCAGACCAGACAGTCTGAACAAATGCAGACTACAGCCTCAAGGCTTTGGCAGGGGGGGACCCCTAAATGTGGATGCACAGAATAGAGAACATACCATTTCTGAATTATTTGGGGTAGAGCTGCCTCACTGAACCTCAACAGCACTTCTCTCTGCTGAGGCAGCAAAAACCACAGAACACAAGTTATGTTGGTGGGATTCATGTGACTTTTAATTTTTATTTTACTAATGTTTTACAGTAAGTGTGGGGAGTAAAGACAGGGATGGAGTAAGGGGAAGGGAGAAGAGAAAAGTATCTTTCAAGTGCCTTGAATTATTGAAGCAGGTGTTAGGATAAGAAAGGTCAGTAAAAGCATGACATTCTTATCACCGCAGAGCTCACAACGGACATGTGTGACAGAGACATGGCAACTCTTCAGCTCTGGTGGAAGTGACTGCTGACAGACAATCCTACATCAAACTTGGCACACGCAGAAGACTGGCCAATGCGGCTGCTGCATAGCTGGGCAGACAAGTGTACTCTCCAGAATCTACCTCCTAGCATGTAGGCAGGAGCATGTGTGCCCCTTCTCTGTCCTGAGCATCTCGTCCTCTCCAGCAGGGAAGGGAGACCCCACCAACCGTGCAGCAATGGGAAAACTATTGGGCAAGACTCTTTTAGAAAAGAGAAAGATTTTCTTTTTTTAATACATATTTGTTGGTGGTGTGGATTGACCAGAAATGACGACTTATTTTGGGGCAGTAGCCTTGTGTCCTGGTGATAACATAACCTACACTTAGTGAAAGACTTAGGAGAGTGAAAATAAGGCCTCTTTGGGACCTAGACTAGTGGGAAGGGAAATCTGTGTATTGTCTGAAACAGCTAATTCTATATCAATCACTACAAATGAACTGACACAGATCAATGAGACCTCGGCTTTTTCCATTCATACAAATACTCACCTCTTCTAGCTTATACTAAATCTAAGGTCAGCTTAATCACAGTTTGGGATAACTAATACTGCGCTTCTAAAGTTAAGGGGAAAAGCTACAATCTTAATAATTTTTTCCTAATTAAATGGATTCAAATAAGCTGAAAGTCTAAAATCTAGGAACTTTTTCATTATTTTGGGGGCAACCCTTAAAACTCATCACTGCCATTTTCTTTTTTTTAACTTACAGAATTGGAAGGATATGAAATGGACAGGCAGAAGTCCTTACACGAATCATAGAAATGGTCAACATGCATCTAATTTTACCCATTGAGCAAAGAGAGCTAAAGGGGGTAAGTTCTTTTGAGAAGAACCTAAATGTGTTTAAAGGGAAGAATACTACATTAGACTTTTGGGGTTTTTTCCCTGAATGGAATAAAAGGATATATGGAACTGAGGGGAGTGGGAGGGCAAGTGTCCATTCAGCAAACACCCATCACTTGTGAACAGTTCTATCAGGGTGGTGTTGGTGTGGACCACTGGTTTATCTTTGGCAGTGATCTGATGTTTTAGGCATCTAGAGTGAGATTACATAGCTGGCTAGTGGCTGGGAATAGTGAGCGAATATAGGTTTTACTTTCACTTCACAGCAAATGGCGAGGATCACAGATGCAGCACCTTAGTTTGTACTGCCTCTGTACCTGAACCACCTACGGCTGTGAAGCCCGAGCTTTCGGAGGGCAAGCTGGATTCTTAGATAGCTCCTCTGTGATTGCTCTAGGACTGCAGTTGCTCCAATCTAAAGGTGGTTTTCTTATTAGAGAAAGTAAGTACTCGATGCTAAATATGAGACTGAAGCTTTGAAGACATTTTATAGTGGTGACAGGTGTTTTGGTTGAGGAATAGGTTCTTTAACAAGTCAAATGCTTATTATCCCCCTCTTAAGCATTAACTTTTCTTTTAAGCAACAGAATTATATTTTTTGGCTTGAAGTGGTGCTTTCTTCTATATTTGATTTCTCGGTTTTCTTAGTAGATATCACTGTCTCCTCCAAAATTTCTTCAAAACTTTCCCCTATCTGGGAGGTTTTCTTAGAGGCTACCTTAGTAGCCTCCTCTTCCTCCTCCTCTTTCTTAAGAGACAGCCCAGTGGAGGAGGCTTTGGAGGTGGTAGAGCTGAGGATTCTGGGTGGGAGCAGGTAACTTGGATTGGGAAGTGGATTCAGCCCTGAAATGCTTAACCCACTGGTGCTAAAACGTGTCTCTTCACCTTCCAGCAGTTTCCTGCAAATCCAACAGAGAAAAACTCTCAGGAAGTCAACTTGCAACTTTTTTTTAAAAGAACTTAATCCTCTAGCCCCTATTCATTTTAGAAAGATTCCATAAGATGCTGCAGTTTCTTCATGAGATTGAGACTGATAAATATTGAATTCCCAGGCTCAAAGACTTAGAGTATCCAGCATGCATGCATGCATGCACATACACCACACACACTCACACATCTTTCGCACCAGCTGTGTTTAAAGGACTGTCAAAGGGAAAGCTATCCTAGTCACAAATACATTCGAAAAGGAAAAACCTACAACTTCCCTTGGCCTCACGGCACCCATTTTTGGCACTTAAGAGTCTATAAAGCTCTAGAGAGAAGTAATTTTACTAATTAACACCTTAAGTGCAACAGGGAGAAGGCAGTGGGAAGTCCGCAAAGGAAGAAGGAACCACCTAATCCAGCCTGAACTTGAGATTTGTGCTTTTTCAATGTATAGGGCTCCAAAGGGGATGGAACCAGCAGTAACAAAAACCAGTGAATGAAACTGTTTCAGATACCAGACTTTTTCTCAGCCTGGCCTAAACAGCATCATCAAAGAGTGGCCCCAATACCTTGCCTCTCATAACTCTAATAATTTTTATCATCCTTTCTTTAAAATCAGAAACTCAAGACACTATCAAATACTCTTGGAGCTTTGTTTTGAAGCAGTATACATGGTGTAAAGAAAAAAAGAAAAAATTTTCAGACAGATCTGGGGTTGAATTTGGGCTCTTCCACCTACCAGCACTGTGACTTTAGGCAAGTTACACAGTTAGTCTGTGGTTCAAGTTTCCTCATCTGCGAAATGGGAATAATATGACCTGACACCTAGATAATTTATATGCAGAAAGTCATAGGACTTTCTATGTTGTATAAACCCTATTTTTAAAGTTAGAGTCTGATGGGTTTTATTTCAACGTCTATGTCCTCACATATCTCCTTGAATCTAGCAGAGGTAGGCAGAATACTCCAGGACCAGTAAGGTGGAGCTGGGATATAACCAAGTTGAGGGACAGAGGGATTGGCTCACCTGGAAGAGGCCAGTGATGTCTTTCCTCATCCCCCCTCACTCAACAGAAATTGGACAGACTAGAACCACTTATTTGGGTAGCATTGCCCCAGCTTTCTCGATCTGCTTGGGTGAGCATGCCCTTTGAAGTACCTGTAAGCTGCTATCTCAATGTCAAGAGCCATTTTGACATTGAGCAAGTCCTGGTATTCACGAAGGTGGCGTGCCATCTCACTCTTGGTGTTCCTCAGATCATTCTCCAGCTGCCCGATGCTATCCTGAAAAGCAACACATCCAACATATTTAGGGCAAATTAGCTGAAATTCACTGAGGTTGCCACAAGGCAAGGACGTCTCAACCATGACTACAAATTAAAACATCCAGGCCTGACCCCTAGCCCAGATTCTGAGTCATTTGTTCTGGGTGGGGTCCCAGCATCTGCATTTCTTCATTAAAGTCCCCAGGAGACCGGATGCATGGTGAGGAACCTCTGCCATGGCGCACATGGTTCTCCAATGAACACCAGGGAGCTACCCCTTTTTTTCACTTACCATCCCTCCCTTGCTTATTGTATTGCTGCTTCCAAAAAGCAGTGTTATTGTTGCATGTCCTTCCAAAACCCAAAGCCTCAGTAGATTCAGAAAATTCCTACTGTGGAAACCACAGAGAGGGTGGCAAGTCTTCTCTGCCTCCATTCCTTTTGATGGTTTCCTGGAAGTCTGCTACTCACTCACTTTACTGAAAGCATTTTACACAACAGATAAGGAAGAAGCAGAAACACTCCATGGAATTATTTTGCTGAGGACTATTTGCCCTGAGTTAACATCTGTTGCCAGTTTTCCTCTTTTTCTTGAGGAAGATTTGCCCTGAGCCAACATCTGTGCCAATCTTCCTCTATTTTGTGTATGGGTTGACATCACAGCATGGCCACTGAGTGGTGTAGGTCCGTGCCCAGGAACTGAACCTGGGCTGCTGAAGTGGAGCATGCCACCAGGCCATGGGACCAGCCCCATCCATGGAATTTTTTTTAATTCAATGTCAGATTGAAATTAGAATATTTTTTAGAAAGGAACTAAATTCATATAATGGTTTTGCTCCAAATTCTTCCAGGTACAAACCCAGGCATAGAAGAAAAAGAGCTATCGGGGCTGGCTCAGTGGCATAGTAGCTAAGTCTGTATGCTCCGCTTCAGTGGCCTGGGGTTTGTGGGTTTGGATCCTGGGCACGGACCTACATCGCTCATCAAGCCATGTTGTGGTGGTGTCCCACATACAAAATAGAGGAAGATGGGCATAGACGTTAGTTCAGCAACAATCTTCCTCAAGAAAAAAGAGGAAGATTGGCCACAGATGTTAGCGCAGGGCCAATCTTCCTCACTGACCTCCCTCAAAAAAAGAAGAAAAAGAGCTTTAAATTTGTGATTCTTGAGCAGCCAAAAGGATCTTTTACAAACACAGCAGGCCTGTTGTTCACTTGCTTAAAACCCTCCAGTGACTCTGGAATAAAGTCCAAACTCCTCAGTGTGGCCTATACTCTTCTCCTTGCTCGATATGTTTCAGCTTCCCTGGCCTTCTCTTGTGCTCCTTAAACTTACCAAGTTCATTGCTGTCCCAGGCCCTTTAGGCTGGCTAGTTCCTCTGTTTAAGATGTTCTGTAGTGGGTCTTTACATGGCCAACCCCACGTCATACAAGATTCAGGTCAAATGTCCTCTACTCAGACAGGTCTTCCTAGGCATCCAATTTAAGCACCCTCTCCACATTGATCTCACACATTATTTTACCTCAAGTCAGGGCAGCTGCCAGCCCACGAAAGAACTTTGTACAAATTAGACAAAGGTACCCACTGGAGAGTGGCCACTCTGCTTTTAGCTCTTATCATTATCTAAAATTATCTTGTCCATTTATTAGTCTACTAGTTTATTTTCTGTCACCTTCATCTATAACAGAGATTTTCAACCTTGGCACTAGTGACATTTTGGGCATTTAATTCTTTGTTGTGGGGGCTGTTCTATGAATTTTAGGAGGTTTAGCAGTGTCTCTGACCTCTACCCACTGGAAGCCAGTAGCATACACACCCTCCTTCCCAGTTGTGACAACCAAAAATGTCTTCTCCAGACACTGTTAAATGTTCCCTAGGGGCAAACTGGTCCTGTTCAAGAGTATCGCTCTAGAATGTAATTTACATGGAAACAGGGACTCTGTCTCGTTCACCCTTGGAAGCCCAGAGCTGAGCACAATGCACACTGAAGATGCTCAATGAATAACTGTTGAATGAATGCTACATAAACACTTCTTTTCTTATGACCCAAAAAGGTGTGAGCAAATAACCCATATAATACAGCTGCAACTTTGTTGACATGAAGAGCAAAGAGACAGAGTAATTTTTATGAAATAGTAATGCAGATAGACATATCAGAAACCTCACGAAAGTAAGTGCTGAGGTGCCCTTGTAACTTCCCTTGTGTGGGGCTGAGGAAGTGATGGTGAAAGACAGGGCTGACACATCAAGAGGTGCAAAGTTCCAAATCAAGAGAATCTGCAGAAAGAATTAAAATTCCTACCACCCACCTGTTCTATAAATATTGACAGGAATACCGCAAAGAGAAGACTCAATTAACTGATGGGTACAGAGCAAGGAATGACAAGCAGTGGGGAAAATACATATTACACTGGACAGCGATGGAAATATTCCAAAGTGTGTTAAGAGATCACCAAGGCTTAAAAGGATTTTTACCAAGAAATTTTACTTGACGGTTGCTGTTTGAGGTTAAACTAATCTACAGGCAAGTCTGCTAGTGATGCATTAGGAGTAAGAGAATCGATATGAGCCTGGTAAGGGAGAAAAGAGTCTGGGGTTGGGGGAAAACGGAGAAAGGAGGAAGTATTCTCATTATGCAAAGGAGCCACGGAAACGTAATACGAGGAAGAGAGGATGATTGCATCAGGATCTTTGGGTTGCCTTTCTTGCCCTGCTACAAACTTCCAACATCCCTCAGACAGTTTTCTGTATTTCAGTTTCTTCAAAACTTCCATTTCTGGGGCCGGCCCGTGGCTGAATGGTTAAGTTCCCACGCTCCACTTTGGCGGCACGAGTTTCGCCAGTTCGTATCCCGGGCGTGGACATGGCACCACTCATCAGGCCACGTTGAGACGGCATCCCACATGCCACAACTGGAGGGACCCACAACTAAAATATACAACTACGTGCTAGGGGGATCTGGGGGGAAAAAGCAGAAAAGAACAAAAAACCTTCCATTTCTGTGTATGGAAAATTATAATGTTTATTCTCTTCTGAGGTTCTCAAGTTAGGATTTCAATTTAACGCCCTTCATTTGATTATGTGAGTCCATTGTCTGTTAAATTAGATAATAGACATTAGAACAGCACTTGTCACATAGGAACTGCTCAACAAATGTTAGTGATTTTTATTATTGTTAATATCATACCATGGGATTCTATACTCCTTGTATCATATGGATGAATTAATCATGAGCCCTCCCTACTGCCCCTCGGATAACTAAGGAAAGCAATGGATAATAAAACTTTTTTTTTTTTTTTTGAGGAAGATTAGCCCTGAGCTAACATCTGCTGCCAATCCTCCTCTTTTTGCTGAGGAAGACTGGTCCTGAGCTAACAGCTTCCCGTGCCCATCTTCCTCTACTTTATATGTGGGACACCTACCAGAGCATGGCTTGCCAAGTGCTGCCATGTCCACACCCGGGATCCGAACTGGTGAACCCCAGGCCGCCAAAGTGGAACGTGCGCACTTAACTGCTGCACCACCGGGCTGGCCGGAATAAAACTTTAATATTAGATAGCTGGAGGCATATCCCTTAAAGCACCAGATTTTTAAAAGATAACAATTTTGAATAAAACCCTTTTTAAAGTGGCTGGTACCGCTCTCAATGAGGACATGAAATATAATGCAACATTTCTCAGCAACTAAGGATTATGATAAGAATCAATTATTTTTCTATAATTCTGTGAGGTCTTTTATCTTTTAGGTTAACTGAGGTATACTGGGCTGTTTATTTCTACCCTAAATGGCCCCAAAGAGCTGTGTTTGAATTAGCGTTTGCTACTTACTGGTTTCCTTTGTCCTGAAATGGACCTGATCTGCTGCTACTCATTCTTGACCATGCCTGAGTGTGGTGGTCCCTCCTCTTCTCTGTCTTGTTGCAGACTTGAAATCCAAATAACCAAGCGATTTAGAATCATGTAAAGCAACAATGAACAGGCTCGGGGCATCAGAGGGGCCAACTTCCTAATATGTGATTTAAAGACACATGTTTTGTCTCATCAGCAGGTTAATTAGATCCTTTCGAAACAATGATTTTTCTTTCATGGCTATGTTTTCTGAATAAGAGGTTGTTGGGGAGCTGAGTTCTAGACAGATATTTCCTTAAACTTTGATACTACACATTTCACATGTCTATTTTATGGATCAGAGTAGACAAAAAGCATGACTTTGTGCCTTTTAGAAGGAATTGGGCTGACTGCTGACCATGGCTCTTCAACGTCTAGTCTCTTTGTTTGCGCTCTCTTCCCCACGCCAGGCTGTGTCTCGCATTGCCCTTCAAAAGCCCTGCCAAAGATGGCCTCCAGCTCGGAATCTGAGCAGCACTGCAGTCCACCCCCTCCCCCAACCACGCAGCTGCTCCTGGCTTAGCCTGAGGGGATGGGAGAGAGGCACTCCCAGCTCCAGCTGGGGTCTCTCCCGGAGTAGCTGAGACAAGTGATGAGCTTCTTAGGGCTGGAAGGATGCGGGCTGGTCGTAACAGAAAGAACTAGCTGCACAAGGAATGAAGTGGAGAAGAGCAACAACAAACAGTGCTGTGGATTTCATCGTTTTTAGGGGCCCTCACCCAGGCAAGCAGTAGTGAGAGCAGCACAATCCCATTGAAAGAGGCCATCCAGAATTACTGCTCTGCACAAAAACTTAGTGGGGAGAGAGGATTTTTATATGTGGTCTACCCATGTGCCTTATTCTCTCTCTCTTCTTTGCTTCGTCCCCATCTTTGTTCTCCTTTTTTCCTACCATGCTTTAAAATCTTGCATTATATGAGCTAATTTCACTGAGAAATGTGGTTTAGGTCAGTGCCCCCCAACATCAATGCAAGGAACAACAAGATGCAGAGCTTTTATTGAAAATGCATGTTCCTGGACCACACCTGCAAACTACTGAATCCATATCTTTGGGCGTGGGCCTCAGAATCCTTTTGTTAAGCCCCCAAGTGACCTTGGTGGGTCAATGGGTTTAGGAACCACTAGTTAAGTTTATTTCCATAAAGGAGTTGTTATGGTGGCCCAGATGACAGTAATACAGTGAGGTACAGAGGGGCAAAAACAAAAAACACAGGGAAGAGTACAAAAAAAAAAAAAAGACCAAATGTAGCTTTTTTTCTTGAATTCTAATTTCAGAAATGGATCTAGCAAGCTATAGATTTATATGCAGCCACTGCCACCCCCAATCTCCAAGGGGCCAGCCCCTTCTTGCTATTTAATTAGGTTGAACTCCAATCTCATACTGAAAAGAAGAGGGCAGACTTGGCTCATCTCCCTGGAGAACATTAACTAATGGTGATCTTGATTGTTCAGCAAGGTCTTTCAAGGAAAGCTTCAGCTTTCCAAGACTGACCGCGGTACAGGGCCAGGGACCCCAGTATCCTTCAAAAAGATCCTTAGACATCTTTGGGAGAACTGGGACGCTAATGGCGGTGAAGCAGCTATGCAGGAACCAGAATCGCCCTGTGTCAGAAATGCAAAAGCCTTCAGCTAAAGAGGGTGGTTGCATTTGGCTTTTGAAGACAATAGCCCCAGCTCTTCATAACTTCTGTTGCCTTTCTCTGCCTCTCTTGTACACCATCATGTACTTACTATGTCAGCTTGAATCATTCTTTACCCTTTCAAAAGTGTAATAAGCTTCCTTTCCTCGAATTGGCTGTCAGCTCTCTAGGGCAGGGAAAACATGACTTAAATGGGGCTTTCTTCTGCCTCTTGGAGGGTGGCAAGCTTGCAAAGAAAAATGGGCCTACTAACAATCTCTGAAACAGAAGAAAGAGAACAGCCTCCCACCACTGCAGTGAAAGGGGAGGGGGGATGGCGTGAGAGGGCAAGAAAACAATGGCTGCATCTCAGGAGTCATTGGAGGAGGCAGCTTTTCATCTTGGTCAGCCCTGCTAAGATTGTTAGAGACAACAGACAGAGGACACCCTTGTGGCGTCAGGCCTTCAGATCTGCAGGTGAGGATGTGAGCCCCTCCTCAGCCTTAGGTTCTGAGAGGAAGGAAATAGCTCTCTGTTGTCTGGCCTCCTCTTCGTTTCTAGCAGCAGGTCCACTGAGGCTCTGAAGGCTAAAGCTGATGGGGGCAGCACTGCAGAGCTGCAGATGCCGCAGCCTCTGTTGTTTTTTTGTTTCCTGCAGACCATGTCTGGATGACCCTACTATTGTCTAACACTGAAAGCCTTTTAAAGCAAACAAAACAAGCCAGACAATACTGTCTCTACCTCTTAGAAAGTAGGGGCTCTAACAAGAAGACAGAGGACATGGTAAAGCCCAATTCAGACAGTAGTTGTGGGTAAGTTATCCTTTTTGGAGAAATATTGGGCTAGCCATTCAGAAGACTACCTAGTTCACTCTTTGAGGCTTCTAGAAGAAAACATGAAGTCTCAATTAGCTAAATGTGATTAATTCAGGCAATCCAGGGGCTAGGCCACATAGTGAAAAGTTCAAGGTACAGATTTTGGAGCAGAAGAGAAGTATTTATTTGAATAGTACTGTAATTCTAGACTAACCAAAACAAATGGTCCAAGCGAGCTTTCTTCCTTTATCAAAGGGAGTCATTTATAGTGAACAGCAAATACCTGCACCTAATAATAATTCTTTAGCTCCAGACTAAAATAGTACTTTTGAGGTTTCATTCATTTCTTGGTTGTATTTTACTAATATTCCCAAATCCTATTAATTTCATCGAGAGTAAACTTCAATCTTGGCTAGAATGAATTATTGCAAGTTTCCGAATAATTAGCATTCTATCTAATGGAGCTCTTATTGTACCTTGAAGCGGGATCACACTATTTAGATTCTTTCCTACACTCTTCTCCTGCCTCTGTGCCCTTTCTGGTCATAAATCCAGAATGTCCTACAGAGTAAAACTGAAGATATAGTGGCCTTTGTTTGGAGAGAAAAGGAGGAAAGAGCCAATCAGTATCTTCACAAAAGCTTAGAACGCAGGCAGAGGTGGAAAAAAATAAGTGGACTATAACAAAGATAGAACCCATCTCTGTGATTTATCACATTAGGATGGAAAAATGTTAAGGAAATGGGCATTTGCAAGTGGGATCTCACCGCCGTTGAGCAGATTAAGTGGTTTTTATTCAGTGCTAAGCCATCCATGAAAGTGAAAATTGATGCTGTCCACGAGGTGACCTTTGATTGCAGGTAGCCAAGACTGATGTGTTGGTGTTGCAGAAGGGAAAAAAAAAGCAGTTAATTGCTTAAAGACAGAGAGTCATAACTGGGACAGGAGACGAGATAGTTCTGAGATGGGAAGAACTCGACATCAGCACCGAGGACAGCGCCCCGACCATTCTCGTTTGCTAACCGGCGCAAAGCTTTCTTTGGGAAGAAATACCGTTAGTCGGTCGACAAGGGAACCGTGTGTGTGTTGGGGGAGGGGTGGAGGGCAGAGCGGTTATTACTAGCCCAATCACCCAGCTACTTGGCTCCCAATCTCTACTCCTTTGAGGGCAAAAGTCAAGAAAATGGGATAGAACCCTTCCCAGATCAATCCACATTCTCCACCCCCCCCAACCCTAGGGCAGACCGTACCCCATAAGCATCAATTCTGGGGGGCACAGAAAGCCTTTCAAAGTCAAACAAACAGGCCAGCACCGCCAACCATGGAGAGGCTAAAACCCACCCCCAGTGGGCTCACTCCTATTTAGGGTTGGGGACTGACTGTTCTTCACGTCGCCAGTGTGTTTATTCCCACTTGCTGACAGGGAGGCATGAGTTAGATTTTCGGACACCGAAGAACAGGAACTTAAGGGGTTCTTTGTTAGAAGGTCTCGGACAGGAACGTAAGGGAGGAGTAGGAAAAGAGGGCGTCCAGGCCCCTAAAATGAGCGGTGGAGGCTCCAGGGCATTTTGTTTGCCAACGCCTCCAGTCGGGCGGGGCTCTTCCTTTCCCCTCCCTCACCCTCTCCTCGGTTCGTAGGGCCCCAACTGTCCAGGAAAAGGCAGGTATGCGCGGGAGAGGACAGGGCGTCGCTCCCTATGCAGCGCTCCTTACCTGGTAGCTAGCCACCTCAGCACTGTGCCTCTCCTCCAGCTCCAGGATCTGCCTCTCCAAGGACTCATTGGCCCCACGCAGGCCCTCAATCTCGATGGTGCGTGCCTGCAGCTGGCGCCGGTACTCGTGAATCTCCTCGCGGCTGGCCCGGATAGCCTCGGTGCTGCGCGCCGCCTGTTCGTTCAGGTTGGCAAACTTGGACTTGTACCACTCCTCGGCTGACTGCAGGTTCTTGGCGGCCAGGGACTCATACTGGGCGCGGATCTCCCTCAGCGCCGAACTCAGGTCTGGTTTAGCCACAGCCACGTCCACCTCGGCCGCGGCCTGCGACGATGCCTGCAGCGTGGCCAGCAGCTCGGCCACCTCCTCGTCGTGCACCTGGCGCACGAAGGCCAGCTCGTCCAGCAGCGACTCCACCTTCTTCTCTAGGTCCAGGCGGGCCAACGTGGCGCCGTCCACGTCGCGCTGCTGCGCCTTCAGGGCGCGCTCGGCGCCTTCGCGCCCGCGGCTCTCCTCCTCGCAGCGCGCCCGCAGCCGCTGCACCTCCTCGGCCAGCCCGTCGCGCTCCAGCAGGGCCTGCGCGCGCGCTGAGCTCGCCTCCTCCAGCTGCGCGCGCAAGTCGCGCAGCTCTCGCTGGAAGAGCTCGCCGACGCGCGACGGCTCGGCGTGGCGCTGGCGCAGGGCGGCCAGCTCGGCCTCGAGCGCGCGGTTCTGCGTCTCCAGCTGGTGCACCTTCTCGATGAACACGGCGAAGCGGTCGTTGAGGCCCTGAAGCTGCTCCTTCTCGTTGGTGCGGATGATCTTGTACTCGTTCGTGCGCGCCGCCGCCTGGCTCAGGTCCAGGCCTTCGGACGCCGGCGGCCGGCGGTAGGCCAGGCCCAGGCCGAGCGACGAGGCCGAGGAGCAGGCGGCCGAGGAGGCCACATTGCTGCGGGACAGCGACTGCGAGCGGAAGCTGCCCGCGCCGCCGGCGCCGGAGAGGCGCGAGGACAGGCGAGAGCCGTCTCCGAACACCTTGCGGTAGGAGGAGGCGGCGCACAGGTAGTGCTCCGAGCCGAAGCTCATGGTGCCGGACCAGGGCCGGGAGAGCGGCTGCGGCTGCAGACGAGAGGAGAGGCGAAGAGAGGTGCGCCAGGCGGGGCGCGGCGGCCGGTGTGCGCCGGGTTTTAAGGCGCCGGGGCTGGGGCGGCGCGTCGGGGGCGGAGCTCCTGCTCCTGGTCTGGAGGAGAGAGGGAAGGGGGGCATCCAGGAGCGGGGGCGGGGAAGCGCAGTGAATACCGCAGCTGCGCGAGCAGCGGACCTAGGGCCCCGGGACAGAGCCATTTGCTTACGAGCTGCCTCCTGGCCGCAGTGCCCCTCCCCAAGAATCGTCTCATTTGGAAGTGACTTGAGCGGAGGGGTGCCTGAAAGACTGGGGTTTCCCATTCGGAAACACACGGCGCTGTCGCGTCCCTTGACCCTGTCCTCCTTGCCCTCTTTAACCCAACTGGGAGGATAGGGTTTTCTGGGAGGTGTCCCGCACCCCCATCCTCACCCCGGAGCTCCCGAGGGTGGGGCCCTGTTTTTCCAGTTAGAGTGGGGAACCGCAGGGCGAGGCTTTGACCCCCTCCTCAGCCCACTCCGGGTTCCCAGGGGAAAAGTGGGTCTACGTCAGAGAGCATCTCATCAGCTGTTCCTCTGCAGCTCTCAGGAGCGCCGGGGGCGGGTGAGTGCGCGGAAAGCCTGCGACGCCCTCGGAAGAGAAGGGAGGTAGGTAAAGAACGTGGGCCTGAGTTACAGAGTGCAAAAAAGCGGAGGAAAGAGCTAGGATGGCCGCAATGGGCAGAGCTGAGGTGCCCCTGCCTTTTGTGTAAGTGTGCTCTCCCGGTCACCGCAGTCCCCACCACTCTCCGCTGCATAATGCCCACCTTCTTAATTCGTTCACCTTCTGGCCCTGCAGGCGTTTGAGATTTCAGTCTGTAAATCCTCCTCTGATTTAGGAGGGACTAAGTCAGATCTTCTTGTGGAGATCTCTGTTTGGACAGAAGAGGTCCCTGCAAACAAATTAAACTCCAGGAGTGGGGAAGATGCTGGTGACTGAGCTGGCCTGCGTTACCCCACAGAGGGGAGGATCAAAGAATGGCGTCTGGAAAGGTGAAGGTTGGGAGGAGTCAGTGTGTGGTCTGTAGTATGCACTCACCTTCAAGCTTGTAATATCTCTCAGGATGTGGCTGTGGCTTTGGAGAGATAGTAGGAAGAACTTTTTAGTAGGTTCCAGAATTCTAGACTGAAGGCCTTTTTTGATCTTGGAATCTCAAGGATGTAGGTCTAGGATAAGTTTTAACTTCCTGAGGGGACACGTTCCAAGAGACAGGCCACTAAAGGAAGGGGGAAGGGCGTCCTGTGGGATTTGGGAGCATATCTCCTAGCTTTGTGCTTGATGTCATGCAAGATGGCCAGGCTCTGCCATAGCATGTCCCCCTGGTTCCTTATCACAGACAAGATTGGAGCTGGAGGGACTCAGTTCTGAGTTCGTTGGGCTCAGAAATGCTTGGTGAGTGAAGGATGGAAGAGTGCTAACGCCTGAATAATTCCTCTCTGCTAGCCATGGTGCCAGGACTTTTGTATAGGCTTACCTCCTTGCCACTCTTTAAGGTGGCCCTTAACCCCATCTTACAGATGAGAAACTGAGGCTCAGCTGCAGCACTCTACATAAGGTCACTAGAAAGCAAACCTACGTTCTTTCCTCACTACTTAATTCTTGGAGCAATGAGACTCTTGAAGTCTCATTAATTACCATGCAGCCAGAATAAGGCTAAGTGGGCTTCAGAAGAGTTTTGGCCAATAACAAAGTAGAGGCTGGTTTGCAATTCAGAGTCAGAGGTGGTGGGTTCGAATTATACCTTCTGCCACTTACTAAGCATGTAGGGATAACAAAACCTACCTCCCCAAGATCATGAAAGACTGAGCTGATGCATGTGAAGGCGCTTTGTAAGCTGTGCAGGTGTAAGGGGTTCTTGTCATTGTCCTCTTTCAAATAAAGGGGCGCTGCTTCACATCTACCATAACAGGCTATGAGTTGGGTTTGGTAATGGGATTGAAGGAAACTGTCCACCGTGGCCCTGCAGAGGCCTCCAGGCTCCCCCTTGGAAGAGAGAGTACAGCCAACCTTGATTCTTTGTGGTACCAGGGGTCATCATGCATGTGGAAACAACCACAGATCATTAGAAGGTCTTACTCCTGGGCTATACAGTTGTCCCCTCTTATCCACGATTTTGCTTTCTGGTTTCAGTTTAGCTGCAGTCAACCACAATCCCAAAACATTCAATGGAAATAAACGATTCACAAGTTTTAAACAGCAGGCTGTTCTGATTAGCGTGATGAAATCTGCCATTGTCCTGCTCTGTCTCGCCCGGACATGAATCATTTTTGTCCAGCATGTGCACGCTGGATACACTGCCCTCCTGTTAGTCACTTAGTAGCCATCTCAGTATCAGATCGACTCACGGTATCATAGTGCTTGTGTTTGAGTAACTCTTACTTGACTTAATAATGGCCCCAAAGCACAAAATTAGTGATTCTGGCAATTCGGATATGACAAAGAGAAGCTGTAAAGTGCCTCCTTTAGGTGAAAAAGTGAAAGTTCTTGACTTAATAAGGAAAGAAAAAAAATCGTATGCTGAGGTTGCTAAGATCTATGGTTACTTTTATTACAGTGTATTGTTATAATTGTTCTTTGTTATTATTAGTTATTGCTGTTAATCTCTTACTGTGCCTAATTTATAAGTTAAACTTTACCATCCATGTGTAGGTATAGGAGAAACCATAGTATACATAGGATTTGGTGCTGTCTGGGGTTTCAGGCATCCACAGGGGGTCTTGGAATGTATCCTGCCCCGGACAAGGGGAGCTACTTTAGTTCCAATCTCATTTCAACTATGTTATTCAGCACTACTAAAAATCAGCAAGATGTCCTATTTGGAGTTTCACCTTTCTTTGTCTTTCCGTCCTCCAATAGAAGTACTCCAAAATCAAAACACACAAAGGGCAGAAGACAGTGAGGCAAAAGGCCTGAATAACCCAACAAAGGAGTAGTGGCCCAGGGACATCTAGAGTGGGCTGCATTTTGCAAGTGCTGAAAGCTTACCTGAGATTCCCCCATGGGACTTATACCTTCTCTTCCTTGGCATACCACCCCACAGGCCCAGACATTTGGCTTTAATAATTTTAGCACATAGCTGTACTAGCAAGGAATGATCTTGGCTGAGCCTCAAACCACAACTTCTTCCAGCTGGCCAGGTTTCCTGAGTGAGTGCCGTGCCCCATGCCAGGGCTGTGTCTTCATCTTCCTGTGATGTTAGACTTGGGCGCTGCAGACACATTGGCAGGTCATCCCGAGGCTCTCCCTCATGCCACACCCTCTGCGGCCTCTCTGCAGCATTTGGCAGTGGTCAGTGCCTTCCTTGGTTTCAAGGATTCAGTTTTTGGCCCTCTGCTCTTCCCTCATAAACTCTTTTCTAGGTATTTTGTCTCGCCGAGGCAGGGACGCTTGTGGTAAAGTTCTCTCCCTAAGAGATCTCGGTTTGCATCATGGTTCTTCCTAGCCATGGGACTTTGAACAAATCACTATTATTTGCTGAACCTTAGTTTCTTCATCTGTAAAATTTTAATAAAACCATCTGCCTGAGTGGTCTGCAAACCTGACTGCTCATTGCAAGTACCTGAGAACTTAAATTCAAATTCCCAGGCCTTACCTCAGACTCATTGAATCCAGATTTGGGAACCCTTGACCTACCTCTCACGAGATTACTGTGAGGTTTAAATGGGATAATATATACAAAGTGGGTATCACGGTGCCTGCCATGTGCACACTCAATAAATGGTGGCTATTTGAAGTATCCGCTTCTTTATTCATTCAGCAAATATTTGCAGGAGGCACTGAACTAGGTGCCAGCTAGGAATAAGGCAGGTGTGGACTCTGCCTCCATGGGGCTGGAATTCTTGCAAGAGAGACAGAGATTAAACAATTAATTACACAGTTAATTGTTAATTATAATTGTGACAAGTGCTCCAAAGGAGAGTACACATTGCCGTGGGGTATGTAACAAAAGGCCTGACCTATGCTGATGATTCCCAAATCCTTATTTCCAGTTTCCAAACTCACATATCCAATGGCCTGTTGGACATCTCTTCATGGATGCTTGCTGGTTTTCCAGTACTGTATATCTAAGAGTGAACTTATCATCTCCCTCTAGCCTCTCCACCGCAGCCCACTTCTTGATCTTGACTTTTCTTCCCACCCATGTTCCTCTGCTTGTGAAATTATCTCTTCCTGGAATTTCCTCCTCTGCCCCGACTTCAACTGTTGAAATCCTTAAGGCTCAAATCCTTCTTCCTCCATGAAGCCTTCCCTGATATTTCCAGTGTAAAGTGATCCTTCCCTCCCATGAACTCTCCTCCTCCTTTCCATAGCCTTTGCAGTACTCACATGATTGGTAATTACCTACCATCTTCTGCTGTATTTATCTATGTGCTTGTCTAAACGGAACTGGAAGCTCCTTAAGCACAACTCCTTGAGCATAGAAGCTTCTATACCTCTGTATTTCTGTCAGCAGCTATCACAGTATTAAACACATGTGAGGTGAAAAATAATGGTTGAAAATTCTTTCCACCACAACCATTTGGGAAAAGTCTTTGACATGACACAAAGAGTGTGATCCATAAAAGAAATCAATAAATTTGACCTCAGCAAAATTTAAAAACCCTTTGCACTGCAAAAGACCCTGTTAAAATGAAAAGACAAACCATAGACTGGGAGAAAATATTTGCAAATCACATGTCCAACAAAGGATTTGCATCCATAATATATGAAGAACTCTAAACAAAACAGTAAGAAAACAAACATTCCAATTAGGAAATAGGCAAAAGACTTGAACAGACATTTCACCAAAGAGAATATACAGATGGCAAATAAGCATATGAAAATATTTTCAACATCACTGGCCATTAGGGAAATGCAAATTAAAACCACAGTGATACCACTATATACCTACTGGAGTGGCTGAAACAAGACACTGTAAATACCAAGTGCTTACAAGGATTCAGAATATCTGGATTTCTTATCTGTTGCTGGTGGGAT